GTTGGCTTATATGGGGTTGCATAGAGTTAACTAACCATCCTATAACAGTGTAGTTCTCTTGCATCCATTTTTCAAATTCAGGGTCTGTCTCTTCGGGTTTCACCTTACTGCCTGTGAGATACCCGAGTTTTCCTCTACTACAAACATAGATTTTTATAGACTRTGCCCAAGCAAAATAGTTCGTCCCATCTAGCTTAATTGTGGTAACACCAGTCAAAACGGAATCTAATGAGGCAGGTCCAGAAACCGGCACCTGCTTGAACTGACTTTCATATGTCTCCATTAATCAAACGGAAATCAAAGAACATAAATTTTGACTATGTAAACTTACTTGAAGTCAAACCAGAACTTGGGTGCTTGAAAAACTAGGGTTTTACTCCGTCCAGCAGATGAGAGAAAGAGAGAATATGCTGCCGCACCTACCAGACTAACCCGAACTTTTCCAAACCTGAATCGCCCTCCTTAGCAGTCACAAGACTCCTTCCAAGCATAGAGCGCCACACCCGAGCTTCACCTTTCCTGGTAACCTCGAAAATCTCTAGTCGGCTAGGGTTTCGAGCAGCAGCAGAACAACTATACTTCTTGGCAAAATCTAGCCAAAACTAAACTCTCCAAACCCTTCTACTAGCTAGGCAAGTGATTCTCTATACTATAGAGAACCTATCTCTCCATACACTCTTTTGATTTTAGAGTGTACAGGAGCGAAGAAAAAAAAGGAAGAGGAACTAAACCTGCTTTGATACCAAGATGTAAATCAGTCCTCTAATATCAAGTTTAAACTTAGTGATTAGCAGAATAAAACAGATCTGAATAACTGTATAAGAGAAGAAGATGGCGAAGGGAAGAGGTAAGAGAAGTAGGAGTCGAATCATTCTCCATTCTCCTCTAACCCTATTTTATTAAGATCTAAAATTTAATGATGACAAGAATGCCCTTAAGTGGGCGACCAGCTTGATAGTTACATAAAGAAAATAAACAAGAATAAATAACAGGCCCATTAAGTGTGGCCCATCAACATAAAATAAAAGATATTACAAGAGAGGCTGTTAGGGCCCATTCGACCCAGTCTCTTTATAGCCTCATGGCCACTCCCAATCGTCCTCTGAGACTTCAGGTCCTGAAAAACACAATAAGTAGGAAAGAAGGTTATGTTGCAGTTCATTGATTTGGTTAAACTACTAACAGATAAAAGGTTAGTGCTAAGTTTGGGAACACGAAGGACAGAGGATAATACAAGTGAATCAGAGGCTTTAATATTCCCCTTGCCAGAGATGGGAGCAAGAGACCCATCGGCAAGAGAAATCTTCTCTCTACCCGAGAGGAGTTGGTATGAACAAAAAAGGTTGGGTAGGCTAGTCATATGGTCTGATGCACCAGAATCTATAATCCAAGGAATTCTACGATTACCTGAGATTGTAGCATGATTTGCAGAAGCACGAATACCTGAATGGGCAAAAGCGGATGTAGAAGGGGGTACCTGAGGAGGAAGATGCAACAGTAGACTCCATGTGATTTATCAATTTCCAATATCTCTCAAATTCTGCCTTCACTGCCGCCAACTCTTCCACAACAGATTTTTCTTCACATTCAGACACTGTGGCAACATTTGCATTCTTGGGTTTTCTAGACTGGCCACCCTTCTTAGAACTGTTGTTGTTCCGAAACCTTTCAGGAAGAAGATTTGGATGAAGCTTCCAACAAGAATCCTTAGTATGTTTCGGCCTTTTGCGGTATTAACATATCACTTCCTTTTTCTCATTTAACCCCTTTGGTTTTATTCCAGCATGTGCAAAATGTTCTGGAGGAGGTGGGGTCTGTAGTTGTACCTGTCGCCTGCTCTCTTCACTGCTCACCATAGAGTATGCCTGTGCTAGTGACACATCATCCTTGGCCAAGATATTTTGCCTTGTAATATCAAATTCAGGATTGAGTCTTGTAAGGAACTCAAACACCCTGTTTTTTTCCACAAATTTCCTGAAAGTTTCGGCATCTTTGGTGCTTTCCCATACAAATGCTTTCATAACATCCAACTCCTGCCATAGTGACTTCAACATCGAATAATAGACAACCACACTCTTCTCGCCCTGTCTTAATTTCTTCACATCACTCATTAGTTTGTAGGCCCTTGCAACATTTAATTTCTGAGAGTATGTCTCTGTCACACYATMCCAAATCTCCTTGGCTGAAGTCATCCATAGATAGTGTTGACTTATATGGGGCTGCATAGAATTTACTAACCACCCAATAACTGTGTAGTTATCCTGCATCCATTTCTCATATGTAGGGTTAGACTCATCCGGCATCGCCTTACTACTCGTTAGAAACCCTAGTTTACCTCTACAACAGACATGGATCTTAATAGACTGTTCCCACGCAAGGTAATTTGTTCTGTCAAGTTTAATTGTAGTCACTCCTGTCAAAAAGGAATCTACGGGACCAACCCCCAACACCGGAATCTGCTTCACCTCACTTCTAGATTGCTCCATCAATCAAACGAAAATAAAAAAACAATGCTTTTAACCTTTATAGACCTAACTAAGGTTAGTCAAGCACTCAAAAACTCCAAAACTAGGGTTTCACTGTACCTGGCCTTTGGGGAGAAAGAGAGAAAAGGTAGCCGCTCAAACCAGAGCTATCCAAACCACTTTTAACTGCAGCTGCCTACTTTTGGAGATAAAAAGGAACCCTCCAAGCCTTGAGCACCACACCCAAACAGCCTCTTCAACTCGTAACTGGAAATTCTCTAGTCGGCTAGGGTTTTGGGAAAAAAATTGCAGTCCCACTTTCTTGGCAATCTTTGACCAAATTCTAACTCTCCAAACCCTCTACCAACTAGGCAAACAAGATCTCTGATTAATCAGCAATTTATCTCTCCATACACCTTTTGATTAGAAAAAAAGGTGTATGGGAAAAAAAAGAAAAAAAGGAAAGCGGAAGAGAGACCTGCTCTGATACCAAGATGTGATTCAAACTAATAAAATCAGTAGAATATTTCAGAATAAAGCAAAAGAAATCAGAGAAGAAGAAGGAGACAGCAAGAAGGAGGAAGATTGAAGAAGAAAGGAGAAAGAAAGGAGGAGTTCTAATATCTCCTCTTTCCCCTACTCTAATCTTTTATAAAACTTACTTAAGTTACATAAATTACAAGGAGGCCTTTAAGTAGGCGTCCACATCAGCACTAAACTTAGAAAAACATAAAAAGAGCTAAAGGCCCATAAAGAAAAGGCCCAATAAGAAAACATAACATGAAAGGACTAATAAGAAAGACACTAATGGGCTAGGGCCCATACGGCCCAGTCTCTCTACATATAAAGTTCTAAACAATTAAATAATTAAAATAACATACTAAGTTACTAACAGTCTAACACAGTATCAATTATAAAATTCAAACTATCAATGATTCAAATAATGAAATAAAAACAATCATATTATTCAAATATAAAAAGATGTTAAAGCAATGTCATTGTCACCAATGTGCTTATAAATTACAAAGAATTTAAATATCATGAATAAGATAAGATATATTGATAAAAAAAAAGATAAGATACAAAAGTACAAATATAAAGGAAGTTAAAAAGACACTTACCTCTCTCCAATATCCATGGCTTACACATATGAATTATGTCATATACTCATTAAAATTAATCATTTACAATGAACAAGTAAATGAGGATTGACAAAGTATTTAATATCATAATTCCATAAACAATGAACAAGAATACAAACATAAAAGAAGTTATTAAAAGAAAACTAATACAACCATTGATTAGAATTGAGGAGTGCGCCAAGCTAATACAACCATTTATCCACCAATCTCCCAAACCTATTTTTCCATCAGACTTATGAGGATGGTCCAATCCACCATATCATAGGCTTTTTCCAGATCCAATTTGAAAATCAAGCCTTTCCCTCCCTGTTTTTTCTTTTCTCCTACACACTCATTTGCCATTAGAATTTGGCCAAACCTTTCTTTTCCAAAGAACGAGTGCAATCTTGACTATTTGATGTAACATTTGTTTACGGCAACTCTGTACTAGAACACCATTGATTGGAGGAAAACTCAGAAGAACTGTCCCATTGCATTCACTTATTTAATGCCTCATTTTATATTTTAGATACCATCAGTAAATCGTGTTCTATCAAAAATATTTAAATCAATAGCATCAATATTTCAAAATACAAACATATTTTGTATCATTTTAAATAATTGAAATACAATCAAACAATAAAGCTTTAAAAAAACGTTGTGGTTGACTAGGTCGACGACATAGTCAATGCTTAGTTGTTCTACGTGACTGCATTGTGATAGACCAACTAATTAATGGTGCAGTTGGTCTGCACCTCAACCAACTAATCATTCAATTTGTGCTTTGATACCACTTGTTTTTAAATACTGTTTGATAATGAATCCTGACTGGGGGATTTGAACTTGAAATTTCAAAGTACTCCAATCAATTTTGTTTGCTGGCTATCATATTGGTGTTTATGATGGAAATATCCTATCTTCTCTAAATTATTGTTATCATGCTGATCATTTTGTCAATTGGCAACCAGGGCCTGGTGCAACCATTGGAGGCATGTGTGCTACACGTTGCTCTGGTTCTTTAGCTGTAAGGTGCTGCTGGCTTTTTGTTTAGCATTTACACTTGTTATTTATTTTTAACACCATAGTCCTACAGATTTGAACTTGATATTAAGAAAACTGTTAATTTCTTTATCTTGGTTGTCATTCTCATATCCTAGCAACATACTACTCTCATGTGTTTACCACCAACATCCAGCTACATATGGCACTAAGCAGACTTTGAATTTCTTTATCCTTGTTGTCATTATCATGGTCTTGCAATCATACTTTTACTCTGTACTGATTACTAGTTTTTTTAATCCTTTCAAATATATTCTCTAACATTTTCTCTAGAAGGTTTAGTTCTTAATTGCATTTAATAATTTAGTTTTGATCTTGTAGGTATGGAACAATGCGTGACAATGTCATCAATCTCAAGGTTTGTCAATTCTTTGTCAAGGTTCTTTATTTTGATTAGTTAGAGTGGTTTCTCATTGCCATTTCCTTTGCAGGTTATTCTAGCAAATGGGGAGATAGTCAAGACAGGTTCTCGTGCAAGAAAGAGTGCTGCAGGGTGTGTTAATTTGCTTTTATATTTTGGTTCAAAAAAGTGAATCCCTAAATGAATTTGTTAAATTCATTGTAGTAGAGTAACTAATTAATGTCATAAATTCACAAAATGACCTTTGTAATCTGCAAGAATCATTCTAGAGTTAGCATACAATTATTTCTTTTTTATGGATTTAAAAAAATATTGAAAGGGAAAACAAAAATACACAAGAAATGGAGACGAAAATGGGGAATATGGTCTTCTTTCTGGAAATAGAAATAAAAATTTGGAAGACCATTGGTATGGGGAAATGTCTTTTAGGAGAAATTTCCAATTTCTAGCCCTATATACTCTCAATGCTTATAAAAAAAGGTTTTCCATTGTGTCTCGGACTTGAGTTTAAGGGTATGCTTAAGGGATTCCTAAATTTCTGATGTTTTTTATTTCACTTGAATCATTGGAGAGAGTGTTTCCCTTGATGCTTCACTTCTTTAATGTGCACAAGAAATCTGCAAGAAAAGTATTTAATCCAATAAAAATAGGAGGAGAGGAAGAGAGAAAGAACTAGGGCTAAGAGCAAGAGAGATCAAACTTAACTGATCTCAACTGCCACCTTCTTTTATTATTATTATAATGAATATGAACTTACAAGACTATCCCTCCTTGAGTAATAAAAGAAATAATTGTAGAGAAGAGGGGTGGTTTTGTCCTTTTATCTCTCTTTGTATGTATATTATTAGGCATGTATACTAACTAGTGTACGGCCTTGTACAGTTCTGTAATTTATTTCTTTTGTAAGGACAATCTTGTCCATTTACCTTTTAATATAAATTCATCTTTTCTAGGTTGGAATGACACTTGACACCAACCGAACAGTCCTGAGCCTTCTTTGTTTCTCTCTTATCTCTCTCTCTTTCTAGCTTAACATGGTATTAGAGCGGGTTGTTCTCTGATTTAGATCTCTGTTGAGAGGCATCAATTCGTGGTAAAACTTCAGAGGAAGTGTCGCCTAATCCTATTCTTCTTATTCTGAAAGTTTCATCAGCTTTGAACAAGTGCTAAAGGTGTTCTAATCATCTCCCTTGTCGGCAGCAGGCTTTCTTTCCTTCTTTGGAATTTGGACTGTGAGTTCAGATCTCGATTTACTCTGTGGTTTGGACATTTTTTCTTGGGTATAATGGGTTTCATCTCTCCTCTCTCAACTCTTTGGCTTGCTCTTAGTGATTGTACTATTTGTTTTCTGTTTCTTCTGTACTTTGTTTACTATGGGACCCAAAAAAAATGAAATTACCTCAATAAAATTTGATGGAAGCAACTATGCACTTTGGAAGTTTCATTTCCAATATTTTGTTGAAGGGAAGGACTGTGGGGCTATATTGATGGCTCTACATCCATGCCCAATGCTAGTGATGTCAAGGGGCTGAAGCAATGGAGGACAGAAAATGCACAAATTGTGTCTTGGATTCTAGGATATGTCACTATTGATGTTGCTATATTCCAATGAGAGGACTCAATCCTGCACATGACATGTTTGAATATCTTGAGAAGGTTTCTCACCAATCAAGCATGTCTAGGCAATATCAGATTAACGTGGACATATTTTCTTGCAAAGAAGTAACAGCTGGGTTAAGGATGGAGAGAGGAAGTGGAAAAGTTTTTCAGACGGTGAACAGATGGAAAACTGAACTTGACATCGAAGCAAAGAAACGACTACTTGAGGGTGGTAGAGCCAGAGGTAAGAATATACTAAAGGTAAGAGAAGACAGGAAGGCGATGATACTGTTGTTTGTTGTTTGAAGAAGCAGTTTTATGGTTGAAGGGGTTTATCAATGGGGTGCTTCAGTCGTTCAGAATAGTAGGGTGGAAGAATATTTTAGAAATGGAGAGGAAGATATACGAGGTGGAGCTGAAGTGTAACAGGAAAGGATGGTTTATTACCATCACAGAATTTTTTGGGGACAGGAAACAAATGGTGTGCTTACCGGAAGGGAAGCAGACACAAGGATGAGCAACATTTTCAGATGAACTACAAAAATTCCTTGCCGCAGTTGAAAACCACCTGCATAAGGAGCGTGAGCAGGAACAGAGTGATGGAGTTAGCCCTCCTATTCCCTCGAGCCAGGCCTTTAAGCAGACCTCGGTTTGTTGCAGAAAGGCAATAGCAAGCTCAAATAGGGGGTTGAAGATCTGGTGTGAGGCTGAGCAAGTTGATTGGGAGCGAAGAATGGTGATAACATCCAGCAAGGATATACAGGATTGGCGGAAGCTATTGAAATCTGTGGTGCATAACCTAAAACTAGAAACTGAGGTTGCCTTGAAGCCGTTCTCTAACAGGAAGGCAGTGCTAAAAATTGAAGATGGGGTAAACAGGGGATTCACAGCATTCGAATGCGAAGAAGGATTGGTTTACATTCAGAACTGGAGGCCGTTGTGTAATGAAATGGTACATACCAGAGGAAGTTTCTCTGTAAAACTGGTCGGACTTCCTTTCCACCTTTGGAACGAATCAAACTTGGGAAGCATAGTAAAGATGCTGGGTGGGAGGAAATAAAGCTGCAAGATTATCGAGCTGTGGAGGTGAGGATCAAGGGGGTAGAACCTGAATCGCTCCCAAGAACAATCGAAGTATTTGTCGATGAGGTTTGGTATAAAGTATGGCTGGTTTCAGAAGTAGTGATGGAGCTCTGGGGGCAAAGAACCAAGGTAGAAGATGAAGATGACGTGGATGGCTGGGTTACAGGTGGCAGACAGGTGTTGGCAAGACAGGACGAAGGGCAGCAGAGGCTTCAAGGGGAAGCTGAAAAGTTGCCAATGGAAAACCAACAGCTATGCAAGCCTTTAAAAGAAGGTTTTTGAAAAATTTTAAATTAACTGGAGTTTTAGGGGAGAGGGATTCCTTTGCTGACGTGGTTAAAAAAAGGGGAGGGCCAGTCAAAGGCTTAGTGCGAGCCGGTCCGTCCGAACCAATTGATGGACTGAACCGGCCAACCAAGAAGTCGAGCCTGTGTCCACGTGACTGTTTAATTGAGCACGTAGACCAGGATAGGTTGTTTGGGCTGGTAGACGACAATTTTTGTCATATCTTCTTCTTCGAAGAGGTGTTTTGGCGTTGATTCAGTTTCGAATAGGCGGAAGAAGAAAGCCATTGGCTCTCTACAGTAGATTCCACGCCTTGCTCCAGAAATAAATGGGGAAGGTCAACTAGCACAGGACCGGCCAAATCCCAGGTATGCAAGAGATTGCTCCGAGGAGAAGGAGAATATTGACGAGGGCTGGATAGACTATCAATCGGAAAAACCAGAAATGGAAGAAGACTCTGACGAACTGTCATGCATAGGAAGTGTCGAGTTTGACAAGTTGTCAGTGGACGAAGTGGCAGCAACTTTTAATCTCGGCTCCCTGTTTACAGAAGTCGCAGCTGAAGGAACTTGTTCAGAACGACCTGTACATCATGAGACTCTCAACAGAACTGAACACGTCCATAAGGTTTGGGGTGACAGTCCTGGCTCATTCCCAGAAGATCCATTACCAAAAGCCCTACGACAGACAAGATACATATAAGGAAGTATCCGAGACTTCCCAGAAGTATAACAGAGATATAGCAGTGGGGGACAAACAGGTGGGTGAGGGAAGAGTTCACTGTATAACGAAAGGGACAGGAAGGCAAACACCTCATACTCGAGCCAAGGAGTTAGTTGAATCTCACACACCTTTTCCGGACCTGATAGCTTCTGCTTCCAGTTCCAGTACCCCTTCCTTTTCCCAGCAAAACCCAGGTAACTGTGTCCATTCAGCTTTTGCTACTAATGATTGCTCTGTGTCCTGTGTGCCAGATACCAATCCCAGTCCAGAGGCTGCAGCATGTTTAGGAGTGGAAAGGGGAATTGGTAGAAGTAGAGGTAGGGAGGGTCAGGAGAGTGAGGTTGGAAGTGGAGGGGAAGTGAAGGAGAACAACCCACAAAAGGAAGGGGCGGAAGAGTCTAGTGGAGAAGGAACCCAGAAGGAAGAAGGTAGTGATGGGAACTTAGGTCAAGAGGAGAGCAATAAAATGACAGACAAAAGAGAGTTGTCCAGTGAGGATTCAGTGGCAGTTTTTGTACAGAAGTTGGGATGTAAATTGAAGGATCCAAGTGATCTGAAAGGGTTCTTACAAAGAAAGAGAGAAGAAATCAAGTCCAAAAGGAGAAAAATGAGTGAGGCTAAAATTCTGGTGAAGGATGTGGAAGGAGAAAAAAGTTTTGGTCTTAGGAAGGAAAGGAGGAAAGGAAACAAGTGAGGGTAATTTGTGTAAGGGGTGGAGAATAAAGTCTAATGAGGATCATAAGCTGGAATGTTAGGGGACTGGGTAGTGCAAGGAAGAGAGCAGTAATAAAAGAGGCCATTAGGAGAATAGATCCAGATGTGGTGCTGTTACAGGAAACTAATAGAGCAGAATTTGATATCCAATGGGCAAGGAGTGTGTGGAGAGGTAGGGTGATTAGTTGGGTGGCTTTACCTTCTTGGGGAGCTGCAAGGGGTATTGTTACAATGTGGAAGAATGAGGTAGTTATAGGTTTGGAGGAGTTGATAGGGCAATTTTCAGTTTCCTTGAAATTTAGGCAAGTGGAGGATGGTTTTGAATGGGTGCTAACTAATGTGTATGGGCCGAATGATTACAGAGAAAGGAGAAACTTATGGGAAGAATTGGCTGACATAAGGGGACTATGGGATGGGCCATGGTGTTTAGGAAACGACTTCAATGTAATCAGATTCTTGGAAGAAACAAACAGTCCAGAGGCCTACCACAAGTATGAGGAGATTTAATCAATTTGTTGATAGGCTCTATATCATCACTAAGGTGCTGTTCATTAGAATTAGGAAGGTGCTCCCAACAATCAAAGAAAATAACCAAGGAGCTTTTGTGAAGGGGAGGCAGATAACAAATCAAATACTTGTAGCAAATGAGAGTCTAGAGGAGTTTAAGAGATCTAGGAGAAGAGGGCTGGTTTGCAAATTAGATTTGGAAAAGGCTTATGACTTGGTTG